CTTCAGTTTGGTAGGCATTCTAATGCCTTTTTGCTACCACACTTTACTTAGGACCCTCCCAAATACGGAGCCAGCTCTGGCAAAGTGTGTGTCAACTTCATCATATGTATGGACATACCTGCGAAGTTACTGCCAAAGGAAATTAATTTATGCACAGCATTCAAAACTACTCCATTTGTTGTAACCAGTGGTTCCATGTAGGGACAGTGTGGTGCTGGCTGGTAAAGAACTTGTGTTTTCTTGCTGTTAATTGTCCTGGCAAAATTAGCACAAGCAATAGAGAATTGATCTGTACCTTGTTATATCTCAGTTTCAGAGGCTGCATTGAGTGCACAATCATCTGCAAACAAAAAAATCATGCACCAACACTCCCTCCACTTTAGTCTTGGCTTGTAGCCTTTGCAAGTTGAACAATTTACCATCAGCACAGAAGCTGACCTTGATGCCATTTTGGTCCTCATTGAAGGTGTTTGACAACATGACTGAAAGGACCATGCTAAAAAGCATGGGAGCAAACACACAGCCTTGTTTCACTCCCTTGGTGACTGGGAAAGCACAAGAGCATCTTTCTTTATCCATAACTCAGGCAAGCATGCTGTCATGAAATTGATGTGAAATGCTGCTAAACTCCAGGCAACCAAATTTTGACATAACTTTCTATAACCCTCACAACTGACAGTATCAAAGGCCTTACTCAGACTGATGAAGGTTCTGTACAGACCTCTAGTCTGTTCCTGGCATTTCTCCTGGAGTTGTTGCAACAAACACCATATCAACTGTTCCTTGGCCCTTTCTGAAGCCACACTGGCTCTAAAGTAGATGACCATCTCCCAGGTGAAGGATCAACCTATTTAGGAGGACTGTGGCAACAATCCTGCCAGCAATGACTAAGAGAGAGACCCCCCTGTGATTGTCACAGGACAATCTATTTCCTACTTTTATAGAGATGGACAATGGAGGTGTCCTTGAACTCCTAGGGGATAACCTCCTCTTGCTTCATAACCCAGAAAATTTCAGTCAATGGACACCCCACTTTGTAAATCTCAGCTGGAATAGAATTAGTACCAGGTGCTTTATCACAGCAGAGGAGCTTCATGGCATTCCAAACCTCTTCTTCAGTTGCAAATTTGTCTAGAGAGGGACTGAATTCAATCTGAGGTAAATGATCTATGGCTTCAGCATTGATTGATGGCTGTCTAGAGAACACTAAGGAAGTGTTCAGCCCATCTCTCCAGGATCATGTCCTTATCATTAATCAATACGGTTCCATCAGCACTGAGTAGTGGAGATGCACCATAGGTCTTTGGCCCATAAATAGGCTTCAGGACATCATTAAAGCCTTTTGGATTGTTATTATCAGTGTAATGGTGTGGGTTATATCTTTAGATTTGCACATAAATTGGATTAAAGTGAGGCTGAGTTGCACAAAGTTGTTGGCCTTACTCTCTTCCAGAGTCATCACAGTCCAATAGCTTGACAGAGTCAAGATAGTCAAGGTGATGGCTCGAGATGCAGTGAATGACTTTGATGCATTCCATACCTAACCACACTCTAAGTGCTGTACAGTACCAGCTTCAGCTGCCTTCATGGCCATTGGAACAAATTATTCTTATCTACCCATTCTACCAGGGGAAGTCTTCACATTCATGGGTAAATACCTCCCCTCTAACTCACCAATGGGTTTGAGAGCCCTCAGTTACCCTAAACCTGGGTTAGTCTGTTTGTCAAAACAATTTACTGGGGTGTGGCCAACTGTGCATGTTACAGTTCCTTGGAGCAACAGGTGAGAGTCAGGTGAGTTAGGTAGAAACCAAAGGAGGAGAGCAGCCCTCACACCAGAGGTACTCATCTTCCCTGAACACACCTTACACCCCTAAACAATCTAATCTTATTGCTTTTCCCAAAATGAATTTAACTAATGCAATAAAATGTAAAACTTTTACAACTTTATCACATTGCATTTATCCTATCCCCACTTAGAGGACTTATGTTATCCTTACATCATTCAATTAAGATAAAAAACTTCATGGATATAATCTTGTAAATGAATATATAACTATTATAGTAATTTTATTAATATATGTTATAATATATTAAATGGACATATAGCTATTAAACATAAAAAAAAATTAAGGAGATGGCATTTCTAAGAACTCCTTTGTCTTGGTTGCCTGAGTTGGGAACTTGACAATGACTAGGCCTAAATTCAGAACAAAGCAATAAGGTACTTTATATTAACAGCCCACTATAGTAGTTCAGATATGCTAGAGGACTATAACGTAAGATCCACTATAAAATATTTACAATTCTTCTAAGTTTACTTTGAAGAGAGGAAGGACACAGTTGTAACATGATGAAGACTGATCCCATGTGCTTAAGCCTAAAGTCATAGACTGACCTACCTTAGGTATTCCAGGACAAAATTCCCTTAGCTTTGCTTGATTTTTAAGTAAAAGTCACAGATACCATTTGGAACACCCAATCATGCAGCAGTGTTCCACATTATTCATAGAGCGTCATAGCCAGGCTCAAAATCAACAAGATGAGAAATAGTTCTATTCAAAAAGGAAGTGACACAGAGAGACATTGAGTCAAGAAGCTATTTTCACTACCTTCCTAAGGTCATCTTCTCAATCTTTCCAGATCTTAGATTCACAAATAGCATTTTAGGTTCCCAGGAGTTCTCCTCTGCAAACTTAAAATAATTAATCTCCAAACTCTTTAATAATTCATCTCTAAAACTCCTTAAAATATGCCTCCAAAATCTGCTAAGATGTTTCTTTTCACAGTCCTACAAATTTTGATCATGACTTTATTTCTGTGATTCCAAAGTGGCCAAGGCTGAAAGGATAAAGAAAAGTATCTTTCAGGTTTTTTTTTCCATTTTCTTTCAACCTAAAAGCCTAAAGGAGAAGTCAGTCCTGCTTACTGGGACAATTATTTCAAAAGTGAAACTTCATTAATCTTTCCCAGAATTCTACACTGTTTGGCTGCAGAATTTTAGCAGTTTTTCTAGCTGGCTGCATTTTCCCTTTAAAAATCCTACGAAGACACAATAATACAGATAAAATGATAAAGCATGACATATAAACAGGATATCGAGAAGAAATTCTTTGAGAGGAAGATAGGCAGAAACCATCAAATACAGCAGGCCTGGAAAACCAAAAGTGCATCTAATAAGAAGATTTTTTCAATGAGTAGCCCTAATTTCTTAAATTTGCAACAGTTGAATTAGCTAAAACAAATTATCAGCTGAATCCTCAGGACATACCTTTGGAGGGTACAAATTTGGTTTCCTGCCTCTTTGTTTTCACTCCTCAATTTGTTTCATATTTTTAACAGAGATTAAATTACTTTTGTCTTCTCAGTCAGTGGTTATGAGTAACCATTTATTGAAAACATCCCACTTGGAGCAGCTATGTGGCAAAGTGAACAGAGCACCAGTTCTGGAGTCAGGAACACCCAAGTTCAAATCGGGCTTCAGCCAATTGACACTCACTAGCTATGTGATCCTGGGCAAGTCACTTAACCCCACTGCCTAGCAAAAATATAAAAAAAAAAAAAACACTCAGCATATTTCATTTTCTTGCCAGGTTCATCAAGTCATTTCTTAAGGGAATTTATTTTGCCCCAATCAAAAATATCTCAGGTTGGCCAACAATGGGTTATATTTGGTTAATTTCTGCCAGTTTTCTAAATACATTTTCATTTCTGAGCCATGGAGTATTGACATGTGACCCATAGTTGTCACCTTGGGGGGGGGGGGATGGAATGTTTGATTACCCATGGGAGAAATCAAGAAAACCTAACCAGGAAAATCCATTTCTGCAAATACAGGGTCGGCTAGCCAGGACAGATATTCTGAGGAAATGAAAGTAACCTCCAATTCAATGAAAGCGGAAAAGCTGAGCTAGGCAAAGGCACTTGCTTCACTCATATGGCTTGGATCACCTGAGAGCTCTCTAAATTTCCAGAGGCGGAGATTTTTCTACCCCAATTCTGAGGGGCTTATAAACGTCTTCCCTACTGTCCAAGGTGTTTATAAATTTCCATAGGTGGTGATTTTTTTTGGTCCCCAACACCAAGAGGACTTATGGGTTTCACTTTTAATGAAGAACTCAACCAAAAAGAGAGTTTGAGATTTGAGTGGAGAAGCAGTACTCACCAACCAAAACAACTGGAGAGCAGTTGGATACAAGGGATCCTTGATGGTACCCAGCCTCAGGTTTGAAATGAGGCCAATAGTCTACTCTATCTTTGTCAAATACCACTTCTGGCACTAGAAATGTCCACCACAAAAACCCACCTTCCAGATATAGAGGACTTCTGTTTGTGTCAGGACTAAATTATTTATTAAAGGGGAAAGAAGTTAGACATGCATGCTGGGGCACCTAGGTAATGAAGCCCACACCCTAAGAGATACCAAGGCAATTTATGCTTGAAAACCACAAAGGGGAGGTTCAATGTAGGGTTAGGGTAGAGAGTAGACAATCTTTTCCAGTAACAAGCGGGACACAGAAGCAGCTGGTTTTGCGGTAACAGTTGACCACAAGACTGGTTTAAGGTGGTGTGAAGTGCATAGCATGACAAGCAAGCACCAGCAAAGACATCTGGGAGTAAGCAAGACTTTTGGCCCCTTTTGGCAAACAAGCTTACTCTGTTTCTTCTACCTCTGTATAGTAATGTAGCTGATGGGGAAGAGACATGTTAGTCTCAGGAGTATTTTCACAGCCACTGTTATAACTTTACTACAAAGAAATAAAAGGAAATAGATCTATTTTAATTAGGTTATATATGCATATACAAAATATTTATAACACCTTTCTCTGGTGGTGGCCAAAAATTGGAAACTAAAGAGCTGTCCTCCTACTGAAGAATGACTAAACAGATTGCATTATGTGATTGGTGCAATGGAATATTATGAGGTCATCAGAAATTTTGAAATTTGCACTTTCAGTGGAAAGTGGGAAGACCTCTAAGAACCAAGGCAGATGGAAGTGAGCAGAGCTAGAGGAACAACTTATACAGTGATTACAATGTGGGGCAAAAACAACTTTCAAAGGCTTTGAACTCTAAGCAATGAAATGATAAATCATGGGCAAAGAATGAAGATGAAGCACATCACTAAGAGAGGTGAATATAAAATGAATGTAAAAGGCAAAGAGAGACATACATTTTTAAACATGAAAAATATAGGAATTTGTTTTGCAGGAATATACAGTCACATATCAAGTGCTTCATTCTTCAAGTTTAAAAAAATGTTCAAGAGAAGTCAATGGGAAAACAGAGTAATTTTAAATGCTTGTTAAATAAATTTAAGAAATTTAGAAACATTTTTAAAAGAACTATGAAATATTTCACAAAACTTCATATAATTTATATTTATTATTTGGCTTCAGGTAGAAAAAGTTTTGACTACTTTTAACAACCTGTTCTTTTTAGAATTCTGTTTCTGACTAAATACTTGGCTGTTCCCTGCCAGAAAAATTTCCTGACCCCTTTCTTTCCAGCAGACATCCTCCTCCAGGCTGCTTCCTGTACTTCTTCATCAGGGATCAAAATGCCCTTTGCTGATCTACATTTTGAAGTCTGCTATGTTACTCAAAATCTCTATCTGTCCATGACCCATTCGAACAGCAAAGAATAACAAAGAAGAATGTTGTTATACCTGGGGACTTTGTGGAGGCAGCAAAATTAGCACTGAAAAAAGAGTGAAGGTATGCTTATTTATGTGGCAATATTCTAAAAATTGTCAAGGTGTTAAGATCGTAATTGTGTGACCTCAGTCTTACCCATCTATTAACACTGATTCTAAAACATCAAACTATACAGTTTTGTGAAACCGAAGGAGGAAGAGAGAGATAGAATAAGACAGAGAAATTATAGAGAAATGAAGAAAAACAGTCAAACAAAAGACAGAAGTGTAGAATGGGATCCATAAGAATATACACCACTGGGAAATGTTAACTGTCGGATGAAGATGTTGTTATATAATGTGCAAACTGAACCACAAGGCAGAGGAGACATTAGAAGCATTTGTCATTTTAGGAAAGAAGGTGGCATGGTGGATAGAGTGCTGGGTCCGGAGTCAGGAAGACTCATCTTCTTTAATTGAAATCTGGCCTCAAGACACTTACTAGCTTTGTGACTCTGAGCAAGTCACTTAACCTGGTTTGCCTCAGTTTTCTCATCTGAGACACCTGTTCCCTATACATTAGGCTAAAAGGAATGAGGTCTGCCTCAGGGGGCAAGATCAATGCTTGCTTATGGCTTCAGACTAAACAAGGTCAAAAATTCACTCATGTGTTCCCTCTCACTGGCCACAAGGTAATGACTTCTTCCTTTTCATAAAAGGCTTTGCCAGTGCAAGGCACTTTAGAAGTCTGATTCCCATTAAATAACAAGAATCTGACTCCTCACAGCACTGAGCCAAGGTGATTCCTGAACTATGTGATGTGAAAAAGTCCTCTTCATTGGTGATCCACTGGGATGTGTACCTGTCCTGACAGGAGCTAGGTGAGCAAAGACAGAGTCTTCAACTTCTTTTGTTTTTCCAATGGCCAGAAGGTGTGGAGTGCTAATTGCTAGACTGTCTCGTACACTTTAGCTTCATGATACTGGAGAGATTGGCCGTGACCATCATTGTAACCATCCTATCTCAAACTAAGGGGAAGAGCCAAGGACACCACCACTGAGTATTAGTTAATGAACATGATGTGGCCGAGGAAAGAGGAAGATCAGAGACACTTGCTCCCATTTGAGGGGCTTTGATGCCTGTCAACATTCCCATTCAGTAAACTTCGGAAGGCGCTGCTGATGTCCTGCAGTCCTTCTGAGCCAGGACCAGGGGACGGATGGGACCTGAAAGAAGGTAAGGTCAAGGTCACTAGAGGACTTCAAATGTCAGCAGGATAAACCTTCACACTGGAGATGTTACCGAGAAGATTCTAGTTCTGTGTGTGTGGAAATTAATACTCTGCTCCTGGCTTAGCTTCAATGGAGTGATGACTGTAACTTAACATCTCTATAAAACCTTCCCCAAAAAAATAAAAAATAAAAAAAACCTTCCCCCAATAGAGTGGCCTCATCAGGAATTAAGTCATGCGGAGGAAGAAATTAGAATGTAGAAATGTCACAGAGACAAACATAGAGATTCAGAGACCCTGAAGGGTGAAGAGGTAGAAACCAAGCCTCAGCACTGACTTTTAGAGTCAGGGAAGCATCTAACTTAGCTCCTGTGCTGATACACGGGAGGGTTAAAAAGAAAAGAATGGTGACTGTGAGGGGTGGCTGTGAGGGCTGGTAAAAGGCACACAGCTGAACTAGGGTCTCTGAACATCAGCGGGGAGGATGCCTAACAGAACCTTGCTAGTCAGACAAGCTAGGGCAGCCTGGCCAATAGAAGCTGGGGGAATCTGACCCTTCATCCAACCTGTCATTTATAGAAACTGACAAGAAGAGGGCAGGGAGACCGAGGGCACTGACAGGATGTCCTTCCACTTCTTCTCTCCAGGACAGACACAGTGGACATGTGTTGAAGTTTCACTCCTCTGACTTAATGAAACATAACATCCTGAACCTCACTCTGTAAGCAAAGCCTGGAGCATCCAGTCTTAGGAATATTACTAGCCCCAGAGAGGAGAATTCTGGCTTCTTTGGAGAGGAAGGGAAAGAGTGCCCTGGGGACTGATTAAAGGGCAAAAGGTTCATTTCATGGGTCTACATGAGCATCTTGTTGACAGAATCAAGATGAAGGGCCCATGGTGATCATACGGGGCCTATAGTTCCTCCCATCACCCAGTTCTAAGGCATCCAACAGGGCCCTCTGGAGAAACGCCCCGAGTTTTGTTTCTCCTTCAATGACTGAAATTGCCTAGGAAGAAGTACATGAGCAGTCAGGGCTGCTGATTACGCAGGCCAGGAGAACAAACTGAAGAGGAATGACATGGAATTTCAATTACCTCCTTAAACTTTGGCTCTCCATCCCGGGGCAGGCCTCAGAGCAGTGGCAAGAGAATGGTGAGGGGGAGAGAGCCTGAGGGGCTGCTGGCACTTGGAGCTGCACTGCATCTGAGCAGCAGTCAGACTGGAGCCTCAAAACAGAGAGGGGAGGAGGATGAAACACACCACACCCAACATGTGCAATTGATGACGGATTATATTACTGGATACATACCAAAAAGGGCAGAGCCACCTCATTGGCCACAACTGTCAAAGGCCAGACCAGAGCCCAGACAGTGGCAGGCTATGCTTGGGCCAGTGAAAGTGGTATCAGATGAGGAAAAGGACAGAAAAGGCAGCTCTCGGTGCTGGTAACAGTCAGAAGACTCCAGCGTACAATGTAGGACAAGAGTGTGATGCTGATACCTACCATGTGATAAAATGATAAAAATGTCCAATCATGATTCTTATGTAGAAAATAATGAAGCTGCAAAAAACAAGGAAGTCAATCCCAATCACGCTGAGGATGGAGATGAAGAGCTTCCTCTAGATGTGGCAAACAGGATCCTGCAATCAGCACTGATCCGAACTGGCCCATCCAGGTTGATGAGCACAGAAAGGATCTGTGTCCAAACAAGTTCTAATTTGTGTTATAAGCTCTTTTCCATTCCTCCTCTGTTCTGGTGTATCCACAAGGACTGAAAACTTTTGAAGTAACTGGTAAAGTTTCTTCTAACTAGTTTTTGAATCATGATTTTTTGATATTATCTCATCATACCATTATCCTGCTCTGATTCACTTGTTTTTCTCTTTTCTTTTTTTTAAATTGAATTATGTTTTTAATTTATGGAATAACACAAGAATTTCTATAACATAGTACAAGAAAACAATAACTGCACATCTGCTATGCACAACTTGTAATTTATTTCAAATATACAACAAAATTACCACATAAATTTCTTTTTTCTTCTTCCTTACCCCACATGCCCTAGAGATGTTTACCATTAGATGCAAATAGGTATGTGTGTGTGTGTGTGTGTCTGTATGTGTGTGTATACATATATATGCATATGCATATATTTAGAATTATTCCATATACATATATATACACATATATATATTCATCAGTTCTTTTTTTGAATGCAGATAATGTCTTTTTTCCTATGTCCTTTACAGTTAATTTGAGCATTTATAATAGTCAAAATAACTTATTCATTCAAAGTCATTCTTAAAACTATATTATTGTTACTGTACACAATATTCTCTTGGATCTGTTCATTTTACTCTTCATTGTTTCATCCAAGGCTTTCCATGTTTTTCTAAAATCATTGAGCTCATCATTCCTTATCACAGTAGTATTCCATCACAATCGTATACCATGGCTTGTTCAGCCATTCCCTAACTGATGAGCATCTCTGCAATTTCCAGTTCTTTGCCCCCACAAAGAGAGTTGCTATAAACATTTTAGAATACACATTATTTTTCCTTTTTCCTAATTGTCTTCAGAAATAGGCCAAGTACTATAACTACTGAGTCAAAGGATATAGGTGGTTTAATAATAATTTGGGTATAATTGCAGATTGCTGTCCAGAATAGTTGTATCAATCCATAATTCCACCAACAATGAATGAGTGTTCCAATTTTTCCACAGCCTCTCCAACATTTGTCACTTTCCCTTTCTATCATTGTAGCCAATCTGATAGGTATAAAATATCTCATTTGTTTTAATTTGCATTTCTCTAATCAATAATAATTTAAAACACTTTTTCATATAACTATTAATTGTTTTGATTTTTCATTGGAAAACTGCCTGTTCACACCCTTTGATATGAACATATCAATTAGGGAATGTTTCATATTCTTACAAATTTGACAAAGTTCTTCACATATTTTAGATATGAAACCTTTTTCTGAGAAGCTCTCTGTAAAAAAAAAAATTATTCCCAATTATCTGTTTTCTTTCTAATCTTAGTTATATTTGCACAAAAAAAATTTTAATCTAATGTGATAAAATTACCCATTTTATACCTCACTTTGCCCTTTATCTCTTCATTATTTATAAATTGTTCTCGTATCCATAAGTCTGATAAGTAATATGTTCAAAGTTCTTCTAATTTTCTTTAAAAATCTCTATATCTAGGGCATGTATCTATTTTGACCTCATCTTGGTAAATGGTGAAAGATACTGGTCT